ATAAAATATGATGAGAATCGAACTTAAATGAGAATTTTATACTTGATCGTTCTGCAAACGGATATGATAATTTTGGCTTGCTTGGAAACGGCATAATCCGACAAATAATTATCCAGTCTCGAAACGAGAGGATTTGAACTTCATAACCGGCCATGGAAACGAAATGATCCGGTAGGTTTTTATCTGAGAAAGAACCGTCGGGAACCTGATCAGGTAACCGGCGTGGAAACAGCAGGAAACGTCATGGGATCCTGCTACGGGCTAAAACTGTGGGAACCATAGTCGGGAAACGTGTTGGAAACGGCAACCGTATCCGATGATGTTGTTCTGTTGCCGGAAGTAACAGGAATCAACTGGAACCGGTCACCGGAACCGCTAATGGGATCCTGATTCCATGATTTCACCGGAAAAATGCTCATATCCGGCCGTTTCCTGCCGTACCATTTCGACCTGGGTTACAAAATTAGGTTAAACAATTTTTTTAAAGGTAGCGTTTCACCAGAATAGATACTACTGTATTAAATTAGGCAATATTGATATAATTTAGATATGGATTGCTATATTTTAGATATGGATTGATATATTTTTAGATATTACATTAAATGCATGCCTTTACTAAAGATGTACGTGTTAATAAAATTATTGGTAATGATTCAGAAAATGATACATACTTTTTTATTCTTCTGTTAACAACTGCTATTTTCTCAGATAGTGTTAATGTTAACTGTACAAGAACAATTGTCTACTGTGTTTTTTTTTCGTTTATTTTATACTATAACACATATAATAGCATTACAACCATGGAGAACTTTAGCATTTTATTTTGGTCTTATTTGTACTTTAGCTTGTAGTTTAGATCTCGTCATTACAATGTCTCGTCGATCAAATAAAATAATATTGACATTTGATTTATTCTATATTTTTGAAACTATGTTAAACAGTTTGATATTGAAAATATGTTTTTCAATCATAATAAAGTAGTACAACAAATAAATAAAATATAAATGTCCTAGTATCTATTATATATAGCATATTCTCTTGGTATAATATTTAAAGAAAGATGTTATTTTTATATGACATTATCAGAATTAGAATTTATTGAACAAAGAATAACATGATCATTTATGTAAAGGAAAAGTTTCGTTGAAAATCAAGTAATTAGCAAGATGTCAGCTTAGTTATAAACACATCGGATGATTCATTTAATCGATTTAATCAATATACTTCTTGCCTTTTCGTCGTTGTATTAGCATTCTTTACTAACGAGAGAAGAACGAAAAAGCAATATTATTAGTTCTGTGTTAATATGAAAAAAAATGCATATTCAGATGCATAATATTTATGCACTCGAGCATGTCTTAACTACGCATGTGATCGATATTAATTAGAGGCATATTTATAGTTTCGTATCAAATAAGAAAACATGCTATCAAAGGTGAAGACTGCTTTCAATCTGCTACGGATTGGACATAAAACATATGGAAACACTAAACCAGCTAATGAACAAATAGATGTGAATTTGAAATCGACTGACCTAGTAATTACTAGTGATGAGCAACGGAAACATAAAAATGACGAAGATGTTACGATTATTTTGTTACATAAGAACACAAATAATGAAATACATCAATCATTTATTTTATGTCTTCGAGACATCAATGATTATGTACAGGTAAGATTGCACTATATTTTCGCAAAGTTTTATGCGTGATAAGCCATAAATTTTCGATGATTATTTCGGTTTAATTTTGTTAATAATAGATTGAAAAAGAAAATTCCGAGAACGAAACGTAATGAGTTCTCGGATAGATTATATCGTTATGACGTTCGAATCCTTCCATCTGTAGTGATTTCTGACAGTGTTCAGTAGATAAATCATCTGTCGACTTTTGATCTATTTTCATTTTAGGTCTTTCACAATGAAGAAGACACGTTGGCATGCATTGAATTAATTTTGGAGGAAAAAATCTTGTTGATTGTTGATTATCTTTCTGATGATCTCCTAAAAGCTCTGGAAACATTTAAACAAGTTGATTCTATTTTTCTTTATGCGTCTCAGTCGCCTGGTCAAGTTCCATCTTGTATAACAGCTATTTGTCCTACTAAACAGCAACTGATCGATGAGATTAGTTGTATTCGTCAACAACTTTATAATCAAATGGTTGTCTTTTCTATTTATAATCGAACAAAAGCAGCGAAATTTGATTTAACCCAAGAATCTGGTTCCTTTCTCTTCTTTCAACTTTTTAAAGCTGCTTTTAAAAGATTACCAAAGAATTCGGAATCTAAAAAACTAATGGTTTCAAAATGTCGTAATTATTATGCAGACAACACGAAAATCTTAAAAGAAATAGCTGATTTCGACCATAAATATAAACCAACGGAGGCATTACGATGGTATACACACGATTCATTTATTTATCGATTAATCAATAAAGCTCTACGAACAGAGAATATAAGTGCTTTGTGTTATTTTCATTTTTACATCAATGATTTGTCATATCAACTAGAAAAAGAATTTATTGAGTTTAAAAAACGAAATTCTAAATCTATTATTATTGAATTCTATCGTGGCTTTAAAACAACACAAGAACTAATAAAGCACTACAAACATAATATTGGAAATTTAATTTTAACAAACGGATATTTGTCAACGACACGTGACCGTCAATTAGCTTACGACTTAACCATGAAGCAAAATATAAAATCTGACGAAGAAAAGGTTTTAATGAAATTCACTGCAGATTTAAATCTTGTTAAATCACTTATTTTTGCTGATATTTCTCAACACAATACATTTTTAGACCAAAACGAAATACTCTTCGATCTAGGTAAGTTATATATATATATCATTCTGCAGATTATCTAAATTGTACTTAAATGAAAATAATTTGTCAAGATACGAGCAATTTGTTTTTTAGGAACTGCCTTCAAAATTATCTCATGCGAATATTGTACTAAAGAAAAAGTGTGGTTATTCAATGTTATTGCAACAGACGAAGGTGTCGATGTAGCTTCCGAATACATTGAATATCAGGCAGTAAGAATGACTGATTCTAATATTATATTAACGCTTGGTAATTTGATTATCGAAATCGGTGATTATGATAAAGCCGAAAGATATTTTGAGGCTATTCTACGTTCATCAATTCCAAATGATGAAGAAATTGCTTGTATATATTATAATATTGGTAGAGTTTATCGATTAAAAGGTGAATACACACGTGCACTAGAATTTCTTAATCAAGCTTATACAACACATGCAAACGCTCGACCATCTCGTTTGGCAAGTGCAGCCAAAGCAATGAACGCTATCGGTATTGTTTATATGGAACAGAATCATATTCAACAAGCGATCGACTCTTTTGGTTGTGCTCTTAAATTATACGCAAAAACTATCGGTGAAAGTCACCCAGACGTTGGTGGAACACTCATTAATCTTGCTAATATTTATTGTGAACAGGAACAACTTGACGAAGCTCTTTCATGTTTTAAACGAGCAAACTATATCTATGAATGTCATTTACCACCTAATCATCCAAAAAGAGCAATTCTACTTAATAATCTTGGAAATTTATATTATCTACAAAACCAGTTCGATTTAGCATTGAACACTTATCAACAAGCTCTGAATATAAATGAGGCAATTTTACCTCCCAATCATCCTGATATTGCGAGAAATAGACATAATCTATCAATGTTACACACCATAATTGTTGATCAGAATAAAGTTGATTATGAGCCCAAACAAAATTTCAACTCCAGTCAAGTTGTCTCACATTTACGTGTAGAACCGATACAAATCAATCCGTTCCAACCAGAAATAAAGTATATAAATCAAGCATTGAAACCGAAAGAAGAATTTATTGAAATGGTAAAATATTAACAGAGTTCAATTAAAGTGACATCTTAGCTTTCTGTCGTCTCTTCTTCTTTCTATTCATTATAAAATATATATAAGCGTTCTTCTCAAATATGACATAAAGTACAATCATTTCAAATGCTAATAACTGAACGCAATGAGTTGTTTTTTTTACTCAAAATTAACAGATAAACCCACTTTTCTTTTTTAGTTTAGAGTTGACTCTAAATCTGAACTATCAATCATTTGAGCAGAAACTCTAGTCGACTATCTAGTGAGAAATACCTGGGGAGTTTCCAAATTATGCAGAGTGGGTGAAAATAGAAAGAACTTCGTAGGGTGCCCATAGGGGCTATTCGAAAGGTTTATGAGGAAGTACCTGAATCTATTCGCCGTTTTATTTAGCCCCTATGAAAATATATAAAATGGCGATTATTTTAATGAAATAATTGTTTATTTTTCTAATACAAATTGTTTTCGAGCGATAAATATGATTGAAGCTTGTACATGAGTCTTCTAAAAGATAGTTCATCTTTTTGACACGAGTTAATATTTAATTAGTGAGACTTATCCACTGAGATAAGGTTTGCTAAACATTTTAGGTGACCAACTCTTCTAACAAAAAACAACGAAAAATTGAATAACTGTGAAAAGAAAAGTGAATAGATCCCTTTTAATGCCTAGCAAGTCTATAGAAATTGCCTGAAAATTTTATGGAAACTTCCTGGGAATTGCTAGAAGAATAGTTTATCAGGGACGTTTATAACTATTAATAGTATATCTGCTTTTCATTCAGTTATTTAACTTTGAAAAGAATGAATCTAATTCTTCTTATAACTTGAAATAGCAGAGGTACAGAATCTACCCGTGTGCGCGTACGGCCGTGTGGGGAAATTTTTGCAAACCTAAGCATCAGGGGAAATTTTTGGAAAAATATTTTCTCTTCTAAGCATGCGGGGGCAAGTATTTTTCCAAACGAATCTTGTTTTATTTATATGTGCATCGATCATATCATGCATCTTTCTTCTTTTATTTTATGTAAATTTTGAAAGAATCATCCATTTCTTACTCTCGGTTTCAGTATATTCTTCTTTGTTTGACGCTGATGATGCGTCGCACTACTGTTTATCTTTCGCTCTTTCTTGGGCGTAACTATGATGCAAAAACGGCTATTTGTTTTCTCCTCTTTTCGTTTTGTTTTTCCCTAACCGAATGCCACTAGTTGTTGTCTTTTCTCTATAGCTACATATCGTTGTAATTGTGTACTCCTNTTTTTTCTGTAATCTTTACATGAAGTATATAAGCTGCTTCTGTTATATTTAGACAGTCGGTAGGTTTTTGAGAAACTTAGAACATCAATGGCAAGAATTATGAAAGAACAAGTCATAGACTATTGACAATTTTTTTAAGGATATACCTACATCTTAAACGAGAATTCCTTGCTTTATTATTCAATTTTATAGTGGGGGAAATTTCCCGAAAAGAAAATTTCCGTGTGGGGAAATTTTGTATTTTTTCGGCAGATTCTGTACCCCTGTGAAATAGTCTCAGCAATTCATTTTTATTACATAGGAGCCATTTCGCGTCAGTTCCGATTAATTGTGCTTAATCCATGGTCACCTACTTTGCTGATCTTTATATATCGTATAGGGACAAGTGTGTGATGAATTGCTATGCAAGTTGTTTCAAAAACAAATATTGTTTCGTTTGTTGAGATATTCCAAAATTTTCTGAAAGCAAACTTGCCAAAAAAAGACATTTTTAATGATATCGATGTGTCTTGAAGAATACAACCACCTACGTTCGAATTCTTACTGTGAATAAACGGCATGATTCGGTATTACAGAAAAAATGAATTCAATGGGATGAACCGTTCGTAAGCTGATCATGATTTCCCAGTATTAGAAAAAAATATTTTCATCTTTTCACATTTTATAAACAATTTCATGTTGTATATACAGAATTAGTTTTAGTAGTAAACCCCGGTATTGATCAAAACCATTGGTAAACTTCTACATTTTCCTTGTGTATTTTGATCACACGCAAAAGTCAACTTGCATATCGTCAACACTTTTCTCTTGTATGCATTTATCTTGATCAACAATTTTCGAAAAGCGAATGAAAAGATCTATCTAAATTCAGAAATCAATACTTTTCAATGGGTGCTATTCTTTCGACTAACCTTCTGAAAAAATTAGTTAAATATTACATTTTGGAAACAAAACGAATGTCAAAGAAATCGATGAAGTTCTAATCATTTTTCAAATCACAGTCGATCTTCATCTTATGTTATAAAATAAAATAAAATATTTATTCATCTTTGATATCTAGACGTACAACAGTTATTGAATCAGACTAGAACTTGCCTTTTGATATTCAGAAACAGTTTCTTTTTATCAATTTAACATAAAGTAAAATAGGGTAACTCCTAATCTACGTTGTACCGTCATTTTTTGAACACGTAACAGTATTAAAATTTTTCATGAGGTTCATTCAACCAAACTCTTTGTTCAGAGGATAAACCGAAGAATACTACAGTCATTTTCAGTCTACACTGCAGATATATATCTATCTATCGCTATGTCGAATGGATCAAGAACATTTGAATAAACTGTTTTCTATTTCATGATTTTGTTTTCTTAATACCAAACGATATTATTATCATTATTATACAAAAGAAAAATCTCACGTATGAATTACCTACACAGCTACAATTATTCATGTCATATAGCTTTTAAAGATTAATGAAACTTTGCAAAAGCTTTCATGACTCCAGTTTATCTCAGATAAAATAGTACACCTTTTAAACTTAAAGACAGAATAAGAACGAAAAACAATCAAAACATTATTATCTTGACTATTAAGATGACAGTCAGAAATAGAAATGCAAACTGAGAAAAATTGAGAAGATTAGGAAATAAAAAACGCGTAGTTTGAAAGTAAATGTTAACAATGGTCTTTTTGACAAAATACTCAGTAAGAAACAAATGATATTCAATTTTAACATTTTTATGCAGCTCTTTGTTTTTATTTATTATTATGTATTAAATTTGCATAATCTCGTCTGAATTGAAAAAAAGAATTTATCAACAACATCTTTATTGTGTAGAACCAAATGTTCTGTGTGTTTGCTGCTTTGTTTTCTATGATAGTCGTGGTCATGAAGTGTGTTGATATTTGCTAGAAAAAAGGAGAAAGAAAAAGATCACGTTAGTTGACGTTGCAGCTCAACTTCTTTAACAATATTTGCACTAATAGAAAACAAGGACAACATCAATAAAAATTTACATCTCATAGTACACGTCTTTGATAAGCCACACATACGCCAAATTTAATCTTTCATATTGGTAAAATTGTTCTCCGATCATCTTCTACTTTGTATTACAATCATCATTTATTATGGTAAATGTCAACACTATTCAATCAGGTACTGTATTTGCATGGTTTATGCTAATTATGGTTATTCGGCGCTTTGTAATGCTTCTTGTCGCCGGTGTATCAGGGCGCAATAGACCGTTTCCAACAGGTTCTCGAGTTCCCGAAGACAGCATATTGAAACGAAAAGCTCAAGTCGATGCTTCTACGACAGAAACTGTTCATGTCGAATTTACCAAGGATGCACGCGTCAATAAAACAATTGGTAATGATTCAGAAAATGACACGTATTTTTTAATTCTTCTATTAGCAACCGCTGTCTTCTCTGATGGAATTTCGCGTAACTCTACAAGAACAATTGTGTATGGTTTAATTTATTTAGTTGCTCGCAGTTTTTACGCTCTAGCATATATTATGGCACTACAGCCATGGCGAACTTTAACATATGTTCTCGGCTTTGCCTGTACTTTAGCCTGTAGTCTAGATTTAGTAATAACAATGTCACGACGACCAAATTGAAACATTTCAATACTGAATTTTATCCTTTATATTGTTTAGAAGACAACTAATGTAACTATTCATTATTAACATTATTCATGTGTATTGCATCATCGATAGACATTTTGATTTTGATTTTGATTATTATATCTTTGAAATATCGAACAGATTCAAAATGTTTCTATTTCGGCAAATAATGTTCTTTTTGTTTTTTTAATTCATATAAACATCTTCATATTAATATAATCCGGGTTCTAATTTCGAATGACATATAAATTGACTTACTTGTCTATACGTAAGAATTCTATCATCTTTACTTTGTTCTAAATAGTACGTACAACAATGTTATTGATATGATATAGTCATTGATTTTTTTCATGCTAACATTTTTGTTCATTTAGAAAATCTAGTCATCACATAACTTTGTACATCGAATCGTTTAGCAAAGTTTTTAAACTTTATTTCGTTTTCTAAATATCAATTACTCAAAAACCACAAAAGACTAATTTTGTTCTAAGAGCATACGAAAATATGAGGAAGAAGAGGAAAGTAACATGTGAAAACCATAACTGCATTCAAGAGAAATTCGTCATGAAATATTAGTGTTTTAGAGAGAATATGAAGAACAACAATTTAAGTTGCTAGTGCAGACAATACAAGGAACCCAAGTTGAAAAACTATGGAATGATTAAATTCTAATGAATGATTTTCTTTTGACACCAACAATCTTTTGAAATATTGTTATATCACATTACATCGCATAACGCATTCGACAACTATGAGAAGTAAAGCTTCAAAAGTTTTCAAATACAAAACATGTAGTCACAAAATTTCTTTATTGAATACTAGACGACTTTCATCTCATAGCGGCTCAATATGATGCGTATACAGCTAATGTAAAGCGTTGATTAACTAGTTGAATTCTAAAAGAATGGCTACATCATTGACGAAAAATTCATTGCAAATTTTGGGCTCTAGGGCAGATGGTCGCGGGACAAAACGTCGCGCGGATAAATGGTTGCAGGGACAAATCGTCGCAAGACAAAATGTTGCAATGTCTCTAAGACTTTAAAATTGCTAATCCGGAAATCAATTCGAAGAATTTAAACTATGAACTTTGATATTATAGTTTCTATCGTAGTGCGTACAAAGCTTCCAATAACAGTATCCATATGACTATACATAAAGATATAAAAGATTTACAAGCCAGTAAACAGGTGTGGGTGTGTGCGGGTGCTGGTGTAGATGATGCTCAGACTGTTGCTCGGATGTGTCTGTCACGTCTTGGGTTTGAAAGGTGGTTTTCCATACAGGCTTAAGTTTTGGGTGTTATCAGGAGTGCATGATATATGTAGCTATGCCATTGGCTCAGAATGCGGATTGTTTACTGGCTTATGAATCTTTTATATCTTTACATATAGTCATATGGATACCGTTATTGGAAGCTTTGTAGACACTACGATAGAAACTATAATATCAAAGTTCACAGTGTAACTTCTTCGAATTGATTTCCGGATTAGCAATTTTCAAGTCTGAGAGACATTGCAACGTTTTGTCTTGCGACCATTTGTCCTGCAGCCATTTGTCCATGCGACGTTTTGTCCCGCTACCATCTGTCCGGTCACCGCTCATAATGCAGTCAATTGCTGCACAATTGTAAAAATTAGCTAGAATATCTTACAATGATAAATAGCTGATGAGACTGTGAAAGTAACTAGAAATATATCTTGTAAAAAGTTTACGATAATTATTCTTCCATGTGAAAACAATCGAGTAAGATAATGAGAAAAAGAAAAATATAATGAATAAAGTTTCATAGTTCAATGATAGATAAATGTATTCGAATAGAGAAGTGATTACTTAAGATTGTCATCAATAAGAATGATATTGTTACTTTCAATAAATCCAGAATTTCAATGAGGAAAAATCACAAGTGAAGATTGCCAAAGTACGTATGTTGTAAGTAGCGGCAAAGTACCTAGCTTTTGTTTCAGATCACACTTTACCTTTTGCCCGTTCATAAAATATAATACCATAACAAAAAGAAAAACGTATACTAATGACATATAGGTGCACCAAGGTCGAAATGTTCTTTGCTGTTGAACAAATTTTGGAGTTCGTTGCATTGAAGTATTGTTATTTTTGGAAAAATATTATTGTGTTGCCAAAAGCTTTCAAAATATAATGAGACGAATATATTGTTTAAAATATTCTATTTTATGCTGAATATGATGAATCAATCAAATTCAAAATAATTTTTAAATGCCTAATAAATCGAAAAATAGTCATGTTATTTTTTTAAATTTATAATAAAAATCAATATAATCTATTTTCATATATTCTTTCATAGTTATTAATATAAATCAATTACCATTTTTATATGCATAATATTAGCTCATTGTAACTGAAGTCTAATTCCTTTGAATTCATTTTTCATAGTTTTGTTTTCTTGTTATGTCAACATTTATCTTTCTGAACCGATTACTCTCTCTCTCTCATCACTTGTCTAATTTGCCAGAGCATGAAAATATCATAAACTTTTATTTAAAAAATGCATGTTAAAACTGGAAATCCAAAATATTTTCTTACTAGAATTTCATGAAAACTGTATTATTGCAGGCACGACTTTCAACTTTGTTTATATTGCTGATTGAATTCATCGTAGTTGTTATTATAAAAATGGTTGTTTACTATCATCGATGGTAGTGAGAATCATGTCTTTCTTTAACATGAAATTGATTAATTTTTCTTTGTCTATTCGTTCGTTTGCTGTCGCGATCGTATTATAAAAAAATACAAAGAGAAATTATTTTTATAATGAATCAATTGATGGTACATTAAATATTATTTTCTATCATAGATTTATATTTTAATTAGTTTGAGACAGAACTCAATTTCATCTTTTTTTCTAAAAAGGAAATATGATTTTAATGAATATATTTTTAGTGATCGATGTTCAATCATCATTATTTAATGATAATCAAATAGCGAACATTTCCATGCGTGAGTGTAAAATATGTTTTGAAGAACTACCAGCCGAGTCTTTATTTTGTTGTTCTTCATCAATATGTTCAAAATGTATTTATCATCATTTAACAACAAACATAAATGAAGCTCGTATTCGTATAATATGTCCATCATGTCCACATATGTATATTTACTCGTAAAGAAATTTTATCATTATTATCTAATTATGATCATAGTGGAAATATAAGAGAACGCTATAAACGTTTGTATGCTGATCAAAATCGTGAAGTACATATAAAACGTGTCCTCGTTGTTGTTCAATTAAAGAAATTGACAAACGTTTATTTGAAGGAGTTCGATGGAAAATCAAGGTTCCACGAAAAGTTCTTTGTGATGGATGTCAATTTGCATGATGTTTCTTTTGTCATTTATTGTGGCATGAGAAAATGAATTGTAAAAAATATCGTCAAGGAGAAAAGTGCTTCAATCATGGGCAGTACAAATCGATCAAAATCAACACAATGCACAAAAATGTCCTCGTTGCAAAGTTAGTTTCCGAAGAAATGAATAAAACTAAAATTTATTTTTTATTTAAAATCAATTTTTCGATCTACATATCTCGTAATGGTGGTTGTACACACATGGTTTGTTCTAAATGTCAATGTGATTTTTGTTATAGTTGTGATCGACGACGATTTGGTATTAAATTTTTAGGTTCACATGACAGTCGATTTTATCCCGATAAACCATTAGTTCGTCATACAGCTCGTGGATTAGTTGTTGGTGCTGCATCATTAGAAATATCAGTAGCAGCTGTTGGAACAACAATAGGTTCACCTACTTATGGAACATATCGTTTAATTAAACATATTCGTTCAAAACGATATGAACGTCTTCAAAGATATCGTATGGAAACAATAGCTAGACAATGGAATACCAGTGATAGTCTTATAGCTGATGGTCAAATTATTGGATCTGATGACATAAGAAGAGCAGCTCAAGTTAGTTTGATGACATATAGAGAAGAAATTGCTGGAAGAGAACAAAGAGAAGTAACATCATATCCAACAAGACATCCTAGTCATTCGAATCAAGATGACGATAGTTTTGATCATTGATTCTTCTCATTCCACAAATCATTTTCTGTTCCCTTAAAAGAGAAAATTTTTTTCTTTTTCTTTCAATAGCTTGACGATTCTTTTTTCTACTGATATCCATTTATTTGAGCTTCACTGTGATTCTTTCCTCGGCCTTCTTTGATATATTTCATCTAATAGTGAACAATCACATTTTTCTTATTCTCAAGCTAAAAATGTAAATAGTCAAATTGAATCATTTATGAATATTTGCTTTTTTTTCATATAAATTTCAAAGAAAATATAAAACCTTCCTTATTTTGTGTATATTATTCAATGTTGGTTTTTTGACTAATCAAGAAAAATGATAAATTTAATACTATTCTTCACTGGAAATGATTCTTATGGCAGTGAAGATTTCAAATAAAATAATTGTAGATATCCATCATTGATACTGACGTAGTTAATAAAAAGACTCAATTTTCAATCTCCTACCCAAGCCGCTCTCGTTATCGGTTAAAAATGCTCATTAGCCTATTTTCGACTTGAATAAGTTTCAAATACATTTGAAAGATGATACTTATCATAGTCAAACAGTTGTTTATGAACGTCTTTAAGTATGATAAGAACAATATATTAAATGCTAGCATATGATAAAAGGAAGACTTAGAACGCTGGATGAAAAATTTGGTACTTATAGAAATTAGTATTTTTCATAAAATCTGCGTAAATTATTTTTGAATTTCTCATATAAAAAAAAGTAAAACTGGAGTTTTACATCAATGCTTTATTTAGGGTTCATTAGTCTGTAAAATAAAAGAAATATTACAATAATAAAATGATTGATAAATAGAGTCAATTTTGCATTATTATATAATTCGATGATTAGATTCATTATTTATAATGAAATTTTGGGAAAAGAAATGTATTCTCTTCATTTGATACGTTATGTCAGTATCTCCAATATCTAGAATCTCGACGTGACGGCCGTTAATACGTATCATTACTTTCGAAGAATACTGATGATAGAATTAGAAAAATAATATTTAATGAATCATTGAAGAAAATTTCAGTTTCCAATCATATTCTAATCGTTGAATGCCAAATCTATGATATCTCATTGAATGATTGGGAAAACATCAGATTTATCCTGTTACCCAACTTATGAAATTGAAAGTCAGCAGTAATGAGAAAAGTTGAAGTCCAGATGTGTACATACTATACTAAACATTTGGGATGCTTATTCGGTTTCGTCGTGTATTATTTTGTTACTATCTTGTACAGAAGATTTTCATAGAATTAGTTTTCATTTCAATGAGAATAGGATAAAAGTAAAACTATCGATGAACTGGTTTATTTAAATATAGTTAGACATTTTTTATCTGAAAAGCGAAATTAGTCTTCATCATTTGGTAAAGAATATCAAAAAAATAAAAATTTCTTCAAGATGCAATGCATTTTTTCTTATTCAGTTAATAAAGAAAAGTTTTGTTTTTATCGCAAAAACATCCGAACTTACATTGTATGCGAGATGGTATTCCATCTCGAATTGTTGTTGTAGTCATGTAGGGATTAAATACAACTGAAAGATGTTAGATACATCCCTAATAAAAGTGAAGTTAAATAAATTAACGTTTTGTTGTATTGACGGATAGTATACAATTAACAATGGTTAAACACAGAGGATAACCATACCCTTCTATATATGTATTCATCTGCGCTTGCTGTTTCCTAATTACACATCAGTTACTCGCTTTGAATGAATTTCGACGTATACAATTCTTTGAAATACTCTGTTAAATTTGCTTTTTTGTGTTTTAAGCAAGCGTTAATACTCATTCAAATATTGACATATTACTATGAAGCGAATGACAAGTTACATGTCAATAATTTCATCAATACCATCATCAACGATCACACATGGAGTTGTTGATGAAAAGGGATCAACGAAACTTGATATTAATATCAGTTTTACAAATCTATAAAATTCTGCTACTTTATATTACTGTTAATCAAGTTCAGCATCGTGTAATTTTAGAAGAATTTAAGAATAATTCTCTTGAGAATATTTATAAGTTCATATTTTACACTGATTGTCTTAAAGAATTTTAATATTATTATTTGCTTCTACTTGAATTTCATGGATTAACTTACATCATATAAGCCTAATAAAAGCAAGTTTAAAAAAGATGGTATGGGCTTAAGTACCCAGCATGCTAGTACAAACATAGCATAGACATATAAATATCAATGAAACTGATATATCATCTGTTCTATTACTTAGTTCAATGTCATTATATAAACTTATTGAAGAATTACGATGACTTTATAGAGTAGATTTAAATTTTCACTTTTTATTTTGTTTGAAAACATTTCTATTGCAGCTATCTAAAAAAATAATGATTTATATATATGTCCTTCAATTTAGTAAAGAATCTTTACTAAAGATTATAGGCATCATCAATTATGATTTATGTTGAAGATGCTTTGGAATAGATCTGCAAAACTTTTCTCGCAAACCGAGCTACTACGTGGCCCTTAATATTGAGAATTTAGAGACATTTTAACATGAATTTTGCGTGAATGAACTCCATTTAGAAATCGTTTTTTACAAATGAACGAAATCAAACATCAACGAAAAAAATTGATTTTGTACTTGTTTTTCTACAATTTTTTGCTCATGTTCATTCAGAACTCATTTAGACTTTAAAAGAATATTTAATATTAAAAACTTGTAACAGTTGCAATAAATTTCCAACTGAATTAGCATGTAATGAATACTACAATCATTTGCTTGCTTATCACCATTTATCAAACTTTTTTAAAAAAGTTAATGCATTTTGGTAATATGTTAATCATACTCGTAATTGATTATCATCATCTATTTTATTTTTCTTCATATATCAAGTATTTATTAATGAAGATGCGCTTTTCCTATTAAAACAATAGATTTTGTATGACTTCTGTCTCTAAAAAATTTAATTATTTTATTTTTTTAATGGGTAAGGGGCCAAACGCACTACAAAGTACATTAAATAAATAAATGTAGTATTAAATTTTTGTGTGTTCACACTAAACCATTGAATCACCAATGAGAGTGGAGGATATGCCGCTATCATGCAAGCAATTCTTAATACGATATCATTAAATAAATTTTCACAATTATAGAATCCATTGATTGAAGCCCTATAAGAAAATAGTCTGATCTTGTTTAATTAGAACTAAAACGTTTCTAAACAGTAATAGTTTAGCATCAACTACGTTAAAAATATTTTCAGCGAAAAAAAACCATTAAAAATAAAGAAATATTTCATCAAAGCTTTATTTTAAAATACACAGCGCAACGAAATATATGGCAAGTGAAGTAACAAAAAACTTGATAATCGACCATATAGTGAGAGACATTTTTAAAGCCGAAACCGCGAACACGATTGTTTCTGATGCAAAAAAACAATTTTTTAACAGAAAAAACAGTAACGATCGTTCACGCTCAAGAGATAATTTTTTTAACAAAGAAATAAAACAAGGTTATAATTTTTTACAATGAAATAACTAACTGTATAAATGTGTGCCGCTACAATTGTTATTTTGATTGGCGAAACGACACTTCACTTGATTGGCACATTATATAGCATTAAGTCGTCTCGAAAAGATATTCATTCATTCACACATAACAAGGCATGAACTTTCTTTCCTGACGGACGACGATTCAAAAAAATTGAAGACTATATAATATTACCCTTTCTTGTCACAGTCAGTCATATCTGATATAAATTGATCACTTTCTTCTCTCTTAGCTGCATACATCTTCATTCCTTCCTTTATTACAAATGTGCAAGCAATCACGACGCGTAAGTGTTTAATATCGAGCGCAGTGATCTTCATTCAATAAAACGATTTTGGTTCAAATAAGGACGTATCATTATATTCGTTCAAAATAATAACATGAATGATATTATACCCGTAAGGACAATCATGTTCTTTTGATTTGTGATGAGATAAAAATTCTTTTTGTTAAGGTACCCAATTCTGCAAGAAAAACAAGCGCTGTTGACGAAATCATCAGTAAATTGAAAGATTTATTGGATTATCACTCACAAGATGCTCAAACTAAAATTGCTGAAGAGGTACAAAGGCATTCATTAACCAAAAACAACTTGATCGAAGCCCAAGAAAAACTATCTGTTCTGCAACATACAATTGAATTTCAATGCGAACAAATGAATGTACAACAGCAAACCATTACAAAACTCGGCGATCAAATAGGTTCACAACAGCAAACTATTGCCGAACAAGGTGAACAAATACGCTCACAACAGCAGACCATTGGCGAACAAGGTGAACAAATACGTTCACAACAGCAAACCATTGGTGAACAAGAAAAACGACTTAACTTACAAAACGATAAATTAGAATATATATGTCAGAAGCTAACTGACTTTGAAGAAACGAAAAAGTTTGCTGGTCATGCTAATTATTGGAAAGCTTTAGTAGTCGTCATGATATCTGTTGTGATGATGACAGTTATCCATCGTTACTTGAAACTATAAATTATTAAGTACAACGAACTGTTGTCGTTTCTCATTATTTTTTTGTGTGAAAATTGTTTCGTTTTCTTTCTATAACAATATATATGTATCGATATGTTTTTGTTTAATTTCATGTTGCCAATAAATACAATGATTACTATATAAACTTGCTTTGATAGTTTTTGTTGCATATGGGTTTTGCACTTCTGTTAATCGACACGCTCATCGTAGTCTTTTACTGATTACTTTCTCGATTATACTCTACAGCCTCGAAACAATAGATTTCTTTCGGGAGAAATTTATGTTAGTATTAATTGTGTAGATCTATCTATAGAATTAATTCATGTTTAAAATATGTTTTTGTGCTACTCTTGTATTATTTGACTATATGGATCAAGATTAGATTAAACCAGTGATTGATTCTAATCACTGAGACTCATTTTTCTAGATTCATGCAGATCGATTCGTAGGCATAGTATGAAATTGAACACAATTATAACAATTGGTAATGTCGCGTCGTTGGCTAAAAATAATAAAATATTATCTAATTTAAATTTTTGCTATTATATTTGTTTGGTTTTACAAAGGGGAAAAAATTGAAGATTGTTCAAGGTTTTTCGTTGTAATATATAGTAAACCATTCAAATAAAAATACTAAATGAAAATTTGATAGAAATGTACAATTTTCTTCTACTTATGGAAAACGCAGCGAGTGTCCAAAATCACATTCACGATGTCGACGATCTTTAAATGAATTGTTTTCAAAATATCATATATGTCAAACTTGAAAATTGAAATTTTCAACTTTTAAACCAATAGCATCGTGAATAATCGTGACTGATATATATATATCGCTATAAGTTGAAAGTTGAAATTGTCTATTTTCAACTGAATTCAAGTTTCAAATTTGACGCTACTGATCTTCACCAAAGTGTCTTCAGTCTCCAATAGTGTCAATGGTTTGGTCTTCACCATATTATAATTATAATTGTATATTTTATACCCAAGAAATCGAACGCGTCATCTTGGAAGGATGACCCTTGCGTCATTGGTTGTTCTACGTGAGACAGAGATCGTTTGACACATACATGTAATACAATCACAATAGCACAAGAACGCTGGCGTGATTGTTTGTATTCTGTAACTTTATTTACATTATTGGATATTTGATTATTTAAACAAAAAAACAAGTTTCTACTAGAATTCGAATTTCACTTAATAAAAGTATTTTCGTTTTTGAACAACGGAAATATTTTCTTGGTTCTTGTTGTTTCCAACAATGTCTTTTAAACTTCTTTTCATTTAAGTAATCGATAGACGCATAGTATACAGAGATATTTCAATTTTCATGGACTATGTTGTTTTTCTTTTGTTTCATGCCATGCAAATAAGATATCATTCTTATATATGTTTTATTTAAAAGTTATTACTGTTATTGATAGAAAAGAAAATTTGCTGTTTCAGATAACAAATTTTCTCATTATGATCATGTATGCATCAAAATCTACGGACAATTTGTTCTGGACTATATTTACATGAATAAAATTTATTTTAATTGATTGTCATAAGAAATATCAACGAATTTTTCTATATTGATTAATTAGGATTATTTGATCATTTTAAATAAAATAAATCTTTTTATTTTTGTTTTAGTAAATTTAAGTATAAAATAAGACTTAATATCAGATAAAGTATTATCTTCATCACTAAATGAATCATCAATAAAACTTGATAAACCTCCTCCAAAACGTCGAGCTATTTCTGACAGTCTATCATTAATATCATTAGATAATATCAATTTAAATCATCAAATTGATATAAACGCCAATATATTGAGTCAATCATTTTCGAAAAACAATCTTGAAAACAATTCTTATGATTCTATAAAAAAATAAATAATGGTCAATCAACAACCGTTCTAGACGAACGTTCAATCAGTTCAACTAGTTAATCAAGTTCTTCATCAAAAAATCATTCATTAACATCATATTTTCCTGAACCTTTTCTTAATAAAGATGATGATGATGATGATGATGATAACGGCGTACGTAGTACTGATGATAAAAATCATCAATGGAATTCAGATGAACAACAATTTAATCCACCATTAAGACAATTAGGTACGTTAGTAGATCGGTGAATTAACAAAAAAAAAGATATAATATCAATCTGATGAAACAAATAAAGTAGAAATTCTAACAACGAATGACTCTAGTTGAGTTTTTCTAAAAAATGGCCAACTATATTTTAAAGAAAAGATTCTTGTTTTACCTATGAAGACTCCATAAGAAAATATAAATAAATGCGGAAACATCGGATTTACATCCGATTGTTATGTGTACTGCAAAAACTGAGTCGATTTATATATGTTGTGAATAATTCTGAGAAACGTTTTATTTTTGAAAAAGTCCCTGTACCCTCCTCCCTCAGGAATGGTCTGGTCAGTAATGACAATTTTTTCGATAACTCAGCCATTTCTTGACGGATCCGTCTCATCTTCGAACTTGACTGAGATATTGATGAGATCATCCTGTGTACGAAATTTCATGACAATCTGATCAGTCTTTCAAGAGTTATCGTGCAAACGGCTGGACGGACACACTGGCCGATTCTATAGTGTACTCACTTTTTTTTGAGTACACAGAAAACAACTCAAAGAAAAATAAAGTGCTGGATAGCAACTTTGTAAATTGAATTCAAACGGAGATTATAGTAGCCACCGATTTACAAAAGAAGGTGCATCATAATCACAAATGATTTATATGCATACATGATATCAAACAGTTACTATTTAAATATATTGGATTAGGAATAATAAGTAATTGAATGTCTAGTAAACATTTCATGTGAAAAAGTTTGCAGTTTTGTAACTAATGAGAATAACTCAGAACTGTTCTCATAACCAATATCTCATATTAATGATATATAAAGTATATCCTTACATTTTGTGCTTTTTTTTTATCGAAAGTATTTAACTTGGTATTCATACTGATAAGCAAAGATACGTGTTGTTCTTTGATCAGTAGCAGATGAATGACGTAATACAATATAGAAATAAGTAAATAATATGGATTAAATTTAAGTAAAAAGGATTCCTTCGACATGAAGTTTTGTTGTAGTGTAAGTTACGACATAGCTCTTTCATAAAGATATAACATTTTTTTAAATTTCTGATTCCTTTAATAACTTTTAACGTCTTACATATCTAATACTATCAATTTAATTCGAGAAATTCTTTGTAGAAGACTTTCACATTATCTGATTGAATACTCTTACCAAAGTTATGAAATAATATCAAATTTTTAAACAATAGTTTTAATCTGATCTTCAACTAATTATCTATTATAGTCTATCGCAGAATGATATCGATGAACGTATAGTGTTTGTTTTCAAATAACGATGTTTCAACAGAAGAGCTTGTTTGTACAAATGATGATGCATTGAAGTTATCTTAGAATGAAACTTATATAAGAATAGTATTTTTTTATGATCGAGTATAGTGAGCGGTATACACAACATTGAAGACTCGAGTATTAATATGATGCTTTAATAAAAATACTCGATGAAAAAAAGCATGTTTTCTTCTCTATGTCATTTTAGACAACAGTTTACAAGGGTTGCTCCATGGGGACTCAACCAAAAAAAAACACAAAGTATTCACATTTTTCTCGTTTTCATTTGGTTTTGTAGAGCTCGTTTCGCTGACTATTTTAGTATAGAAAAAATAAAAATTCATAAGTGAAAAAGTTTTTATTGCGAAAATACTAAAACTGTTTTTTTATTAAAAATACCTTAGGTTTTTCGGCATTTCAGCCCTAGCGCAGTTATTTCTAGATATATTTTTGAAACAAAATATACCAAAATGTTCAGCTCAATTAGCTCTACAAGATACGATAGTTTCAAATTACTTTAAAATATTTTTGAATGATTTACTCAAGTAAATGCGCTAAACGTTTTTCAAATAGGGTCAGAAACCTTGCTTAAAGATTCAGAACAGAAATATATCGAGGAGCTCTCACACAGCTTCGCTCACTTTACACACGACATTCTCCGAGCACGATTTAACTATGCTAGTTTTGTAGCCCATGTCGAGTTGGGTCTGAAACCATATTTCATTTCTCAGAAAACCATGCGCTAAATCTTGCATAGAGTGCTCAAAACACGATTTTCTTCAAAGACGAAACTAAAAATCAACAATTTTCGTTTTTTTTCAAGATAATAGGGAAAAGCTAATTATGGCAGTGGATAGAGCATACAAACGTGTCTTTATGTCGTAGGTTTTAGGTACGTACTGGAAAATCTCCAACCACCGAAGTAGTTGCAAAAACTAGAAGATTGCGATTTTTGCTAAAATCTGAAAGAGCAGCAGTCACATTTTTGAATAGTTTGAATCATCATAGTTAAAACAGTTTTAGGATGGGGAAGTTAACATTTCAACCAGAGGTAGTACTTATAGAGGGCTACTAGATAAATAATTTCAGCAAATTTTGAGGTGTAGTGCTCGAGAAAATCGAAGTCCAATAAACTGTTTTCAGAAATCCTTGTTTTTTACAATTCGTAAATTTTGANATGAATTTTTATTTTTTCTATACTAAAATAGTCAGCGAAACGAGCTCTACAAAACCAAATGAAAACGAGAAAAATGTGAATACTTTGTGTTTTTTTTTGGTTGAGTCCCCATGGAACAACCCACAAGTTTTTGTGATGGAAAATAAATATATAATGACATATTTTTTAGGCAGCTCACTGATTGAACAATCATGCTAGTGTACCATTGATTGACGTTCAACTATTTAGCGATGCGAATGAATTCATTCGACAAGCAAGCAAACTGGAATAATCGATGTGGAACTAAAACAAAACAAAACTTGAATCAAGTACAATATATCATTGGTATGGGATTATAAAACACCCTGTTAGTATAAAGTTTTTCTCTATCATCTTTTTGAATTTCCAAGTAACAAAGCATCTAATAAGAAAGGTTTATAATTATTTATTGTAAATGAATCTTTGCGAATTATTATCGCACGAATAATCTTGTAAGTAGAATTTTTTAATTTAATAAAAACGGTTAAGTTCTTGGTGTAACATTCTCTACCTTTCTTAATTTTAATTAGAACGCGAAATTTTATCAGATTGATATGACACAACTTAAAACTAGTGCATTAGTGCATCATTTATTAATCAAATATCAGTGTAAATTATATCATAGTAGCGTAAATAATCTTCAAAACTTACTATAGAATATCATATTTACTTTGCTACTATTATTCAATTTGAAGAAGTTTCATTCTATCAAATGAATTCTATTGATTCTGAGTTAAATGTTCTCGCTGTCTATACTATGTTGATTCTTTCATACATGAGAAAAATTTTGAAATAATACTTTTCTATAACAAATAAAACTTGATAAAACAAATTCAAATAAATTATTAAAACTATTTTCATGTCTCGGATGAATATTTTTCAAATGTCTATACAACTTTCTAGGTGAATCTTTGAATACTAATTGATAATTCTTTGTTCTCTCTAAATTATCATAGTATTGAGGTAAACAGTTACAAAAGGTACTGCTATATTATCAGATTATATAGGTAAATACTCTCTGCTAATGTATGTTTTGTACTTTCTTGAATAGTTGAGTACATTTATCCTACTGTAGCCCAAGCGCAATTAGAGCAAAATACACGAGACAACAACAAAAATGTTTTGCCTATACACGTTTATTTCTTTTTTGTATCGTCAAAAAATATTCTATGGATGAGTGAGCAGCTGCAATGAGTAAGGAGAATAATTTAATGTAATTATATGCGTGTGTATCTATAAAACTTGACATAATATCATATAAAAGAAGGGAGACAAGCAAGTAAGTTCGATCGGTTTATAAAAAAATGATTTCTTAACTGAATTATCTTTATTATTCAATGGAAAAGTCAGACTTGTTTAAACAAACCTGATGTATGCTGTAAGCAGAAATTCTAGTTTCTTTTCTGCGTAAATTTATTTCAATTTCTAGTATATCCTACATGCGAGCTGCGTAAATCAATTTTATTCTTTTTTTTCTAGGATTACCATCGTCGTTGAATATAACAATTAGTTTTACTTAAACGTCAACTTAATGACATCGAACGATCCGGGACATATAAGTAAGTTAATCAAACTCACAGATATTTATTCATAAAATTTGTATTAGATAATCTTGGCAGAGCACAAACAAATGCACTTAAACAATCATGGATAGCCTTGATCGAGGATATAGGCAAGGAAACGTCGTTATCAGGGGAGCATATTGCTGATTCTGTCTTTGGAGATGAATTATTTCGTGCAATCTGTTATGATAATCCAGATGTTCTGATACTTCGATGGCTTCGTTCTCGTAAATGGGATGTTGATGCTTCCGTTAATCAAATAATAGAGACACTAAAATGGCGACATGACTGGGGTGTTCAGAAACTCGTAGCTAATGGAGAAAAAGCTATTTCTCAAGAAGAAATTGCAACAGGCAAAACTTATTTCATGGGTCATGATAGGATAGGTCGACCGGTCTGTTGCATACATCCGAAAGAGCATGTCAAAGGCCAGTTTTCTAACGAATATAGCGAGAAATTGAGTGTTTTCTGTGTAGAAACCTATCGCAAGTTGTTGCAACCACCGATTGAATCTGTCACGATCATATTTGACATGGCTGGTTGCGAGAGAAAAAATATGGATATGCATCAAATTAAATTTCTCGTTACTCTACTAGATAATTACTATCCAGATTCACTTGGTATGATACTTGTTCTTAATTTTCCTTGGATATTCGGCAAAAGTTGGCTCCTGATTAAATCTTGGTTAAACCCAACTGTACAAAAGAAAGTACGGTTTATTCATAGTGAAACTGAATTAACCGAATTTATTGATCCATCAGTTCTTCCGAAAAGATTGTATGGTACCCAACCAGATTTTAAATATATTCCACCATCTGCCGAAGATGAAGCTATGTTTAATATTTTTCGAGCCGATACGAAAGGAAAAGCAATAGCTGAAGCAGCACACCGTGATGCTGTTCGATACTATTTGAGAGTTACTTTGCAATGGGCCAATGGCAATGAAAGCCGCAATGTACTTGTAGAAAGAAAAAAAGCGCGAAAACAACTCAAAAATGCATTTGAACAACTTTCCCCGTATATAAGCACGCGTACTCATTATCATCGCGCTGGAGTAATTAAAGAGCCTATTTTTCAAACTGCATATGAGAGACTCCTTCATGAAAAAGAAGATTCAAGTGTAACATTTTTTTAAAATTAAAGTACAATTTCTATTGAACACTGTTAATTATAATATTTAGGAATGTAAATGATATTATATCTCTCTCTATATAAATTTTAATAAAAGAAAGCCTGATTCTTTAATGACGAAGAAAAGATATTCAAGTGGCCAATGAATACCATGAAAACAAAAGAAAACAATAAAGTAAAAGAGAAAGAGACGCGACTCGTTTTTATGTACCATCTTTAGACAAGCGATTAATTTGAGTAGCATTTTTTTTATACAATATTTTACGAAGATGATTTAGTTCGTTTTGCCTTTTCACACACAACAGAAATCTTGTCAATAAATTAAACAGCAGTAGCAAAGAAGTCAGAAATCGAAAACTAATAGTTGAAAATATGGATGTTTTTGATGATAGTAAAAGTGGCACGACGCTTCGTCTATCTGGTTGGCCTCTTTTTTTTTTAAATTTGCAATATAACTTGAAGGACACGTAGTATCTCAGATGATAACAGTTGCATGACACAGCTACTACATTTTGCAGGCGCTTGTACTGAAGTAAAACAGTGACACATTGACGTACAAATTCAGTCATCCGAAATCTTCATTGATTTAGGATATGGAGTAACTTAAATAGTTAAATGCAAGTTTCAAGTATGGCACTACTGCCATATTAGTAAAATACTTGTATTTTAACAAATTTTAATATTATTTGACTATGCAGATGGAACGAATTTCATCATCCTTTTTAACAAATAAAAACATTTTACGGAAGTATTTCCATGCTACAGATGATTCGAAAATCTGACTTGAAGAATATATTATTTTAATGTGCTAAGAAACAGTTTGCATGACTTTGAATCATAACATTGAATTTGTAAATAAAAAACAGAAACTATCAAATATTAAAATAAACTGGCATACATATATGATCCATGTAGCAATAAAGAACTGTCAAACAAATTTTAGACAAAGAGAAGAATAAGAAATCATTTCTATATGTTGCTATTACACACATGCAAGTTCTTCGTGTCTATGTTGTAGTGGAAATTAAAATTCAGTAGAATTTAAAATCCTACTAGTAGAAATTGAAATTTTAGTTTCTACTATAGGTAAAATTCAGTAGAATTTCAATTTCTACTAGTAGAATTTTAATTTCTACTGCGACATCTATATCATTTAGATGGCAAAAATTAGATGATAATAATTAGTGGAACTAGAAAAGTGATAACCGCTCCTTGTTGCAAAATATGGTTTCATAAATCATTGCAATGCATTTCGATATCAAAGCGTGATGACATAATAACAAAAGATTTACAGAGATTATTTAAATTGTTTTTCTTTTTTTTCATTTACTGAGTTGTGTGAAAAAGAAATGAATAGTTATCTCATATATATATAGGTAAAAACTATCAATAATCAAAGTCAAAGTTTCTTTCGATGCATGTGACAAAAAAAGAAGTTAAATGTCAGACTGAATATTTAAAATCAGGATTGTTCAGTATTCCTGTATAGCAAATATATATGAAGGGAAGTAATCGGCAACACAGAAAAGAATTATGACAATAAAACTAATCATTTTCGAATAATCAACATCTATTGAAAAGTTATCAATTGTAATGTGATGAGAGACAAATTTTTGTATTTAAAGTCTTTTCGTTTTTCGTATAGAGAAGAAAATATTATCAACAAGTACATCACAATAAACTCAAGTTATCATTGTGTTTTATTTCGTTCGTACTCGTCAATAAAACTGCAGTTAAGTATTGAGAAGAGAAAATAATAAGGTGAAAAAGAAACGAAATTACATGTGGATATTTGTAATTTAATAGGTTATCTGACTGCATTAACGAAAGAACGCGAGATGCACAGAATAAATATGAAATGTTGGTGTCTCCTCGTTTCAACATGCTTTTTTATAATCAATACAATATTTGATGACATTCACTGGTGATATAAAGCTTTATATCATACCTCGAGAGAAAAGAGCGTAGATATTTTGCATGCACTCTTGCCATTAATGTCTTTTCTAGACAAGTTTATCTTTCAATTTCAACGATAAAAACTATCGTGTATTCGTTAAGTATTTTATTATACTTTTTGTTTCAACATACGCTATTCAATTTCAACGATATCAATTTGTGATGAGCTCACCAACAAATCTAAACTTGCGGCATTTAGCTGATACTGTCGATCAACTTGCCGTACGATTATCATCTATTCAACCGTCTTCTCTTGAACAACTTGAAGAGTGGCGTGAAACAGCATATCGTTCTATTGATGATTATTGTGACAAGAAACGTCATGAACTGATTGAAATGAAACAGGTACATCAAAGAAAAGAGCTTGATCATCTTCGACAAAAAGTAAATAATTTAATTGAAAAACATGATGATAAACAAGATCATTATGATTCAATTAATCATGATATTCAATTGGCAGAGATTAAAATAAATGAACTTGAGCATCTTCGATTAACGGTGCATAAATTGCCTATTGATGGTCATCTTATTGTTCGACGACATTTATTTCCTCTGCCTCATCCTTGCAGTACAATACATTTAAAAGTTGGTTTAGAAAGTGCTGTTGGTACTAATAATAAACATCTTCTTGTCGATCGCGAAGGTAGACATTTATGTTTATTGGATCGAAATTTAACTGTTGTTAAAGAAACATCATTTACCCATGATGGTATTCATGGTGCTTTTTGGGCATCAACAATAGCTCGATTTATTTTTATTACTTTTAAAGAAATTTTATTACTTGATGAAACGACGATGAAGCTCGAGACTTGTCCTATTCCATGTAAAGTAGATTGGTGGAGAGGTACTTGCTCGGAAGATATTTTATTCTTATCGACAGTAGAATGGGGTTCATCGATTTATGAATTTAATCTTCGATCATCATTTAAAGCAGTCAAGGAATGGCATTCGCCTGTTACCTGCAAAAAAGAAGAGATTGTATGTGATCTTAAGTACAATAGTGGTTTTCTTGCTATTCCAATTTTTAATAAACATAAAGTAGAGAGTCGTTTTGAATTACGTTCAGCAGCTACACTTGAATGCATTTGGTCTGTTCGTGCTCATGGCCGTTGCCGTTGTTGTTCCATCGATATGGATCAATGGTTATTGATGGATCATGATGATTGTCGATTCTTTCATATTTCAGCTGATGGAAAACTATTAGAAGCAGACAAGTATGATCAGCATGAACAACTCGAGGATATTATACCGTGGGGTAAAGATGATGTTGTTGTGTTGACAAAGAAGGGTATCAACTTACATAAGCTTAACTGAAAGAGAACAGCTGCAACTAAACATTTTCTACATAATAAAACAAGTTCATAATATGTTTCCAAAGCTAAATTCAAGCCATCGATCTACGATTTACGAACATTAGCCATGTGTTTTCTGTCATTCTTCTTTTATTGATGAGCTTTGTTAAAACAAATAAATGATCATTCGAAAAAGAATTAATACGCTCAGTCTTATTTTGAAAGACTAATTTTTTGCAATTTTAAATCAAAATATATTTATTTTTAGAACAATTGACATACTCTATACAAGCTGTACCATATCAATTGAAAAACTGTTTTCAATTCTTTTTTAAATTTGACAGTGTATGCTCATACAATTACTATGGTCAGACTGAATCATATAATTTATAGTATCTAAATCTGATCTTCGTTAAATGGTAGAAATTCTGAAAGTATAGCATTTGACGAGGATACTATGCGTTTATTTTTCTTATCTCAATTTAAAAAGTCTCATATACATTAGATATCACATAAACAAAGGATAAAAACAACAGTTGCAATTGAGATTATTTTTTGCTACCTCAATCACATGAAAAAGTTACTTGTATTATTCATCATAGAATTACAAAAGAAAAAATTAATATAAAGAAAAACGTATCTTACCCATATTGAAATATGACATATTTACAGTTATCTATGGTAATAATATCTTTTTAAATAATCCGTATCATGATTCTTATTTATTATAAGGGTAAAGTAATTATTGAGTCATTGTGAAGAATTGACAAGTTACTCTAACATGAGTAATAGATTAGTACAATTCAGTGACTTTTGATCTTTAGTAATTGCTCTTTCTATATTATACTCTCTACCTAACTATCTATGAAAAACTCTATTCGTGAGCGTACTTCTTTCTATCTTTCAAATACTTACTGTTCATAGCATTGATCAACCAACATATATCTCGGTTATACTCATGACAATACATGTTTTTAATATTTTTTAATCGAAATTTACTATAAGTGAATAAAGTATTAGATCCGTAATAAAGTTCAAATCGTTGCAGGGCAAAATGTAATCTCGGAATAATAGATAGAGACATGTATATCGTGCTAGTTAAATGTTTTTCTTTTTGATGGTTATCTTTAGAAAGTTTTTAATGTCAAATTTCTAAAAGTACTACTATTGACACTGCTTGCTCATAATTCAAGGTTTCGACTCTGTTTTCGATTATGTACTGTATGAGTTGTGCAAGAAAAATATTACATTTTATCATCGAATGAATTATTTTTGAAAAAGAAAATTAATTTACGCATTTCGTGCAATACTAGGCACTAAGAAAATTTTTCTCTTGTTTCCATGGTGAACACTGCAGTTTATATGTTTAATTATTAGAATGATTATTCTCTTTCTCCTTTGGACACTCTTTTCTTCTTATTTGCTTGATATTTCTAGATCTTAAAGATTGTTCTCAACAAGTCTAACAGGTTTTCGTGCACAAGAGAACTTCAGGAAATGAGATCTACTGTATGATGTATAATTCATAGAGAATAAACAAGAAATAAATGCATTGTTCGTACGAATGCTCATTTTTTAATAATAATCATAGTTAGTAAAGTTTCGAATTGAATATACCCCATATTATCTTAATAAATATTAAAATAGATGCTCCATGTTTTAATTTACAACGTTGAGGAACACAATTTTCAGTAAGTCTATTTCATTTTGGAGATTTTAGATCTTTTAATAACTTTTTTCTTAAGATCAATATATATATATAGATCAAAAAAATTTGATTTTTTTTATAAAAGAATTTTCCTTATTGATTTCGGAAGATGGATAATATTAGAAGGTGCAAAAATTTTTGTCATAAATTAGTCGAAAAAAGTATTTTACTTGTGGCAGTGCTAAAGTGAAAAGTCTATTTAATGATTGACTTATGTGGACAATGAATTTTTGTTTAGACATCCGAAAATGACTCATGCAATATATGATCGAATCGATGAGTCATATTTTATTTTTATAGTCTAGCAGATAGACGAACGAATAGAAAACAAACTAGATGTTTCTATTCTATCATCGTTAATGACCAAGGTGTGTGTGCGTGTGAACCCCATCCCCCTCAATATTCGAAAAATTGTGTTACATTGTATTTAACAAAATGAAACTTATACTATGTTAAACACGATTTTATAAGTCACTCTCTCTCTCAGTGTTGTCAGATGTGAAACTCGAGAATCCAGAATTCAAATCTCAAATCCTGTACAACTGCGGCGAACTCTGAAAAATCCAAGAATCCCGGAAAAGCTAGAATAAATCCCAAAAAAATATTGATAAATCCCGAAATAACCCAAAAAATTCTGAGAACCCAGAAAGAACCCTGCAAAAATCTCGGAAAAATTTTTAAATTTGAAAGACCCGGCAACAATAGCTACTCACCCCAGAAACTTTGGAAAATAAGAGTGTTAGTTTAAATTTGTTTTTTTCCGGATCTAGTTGAGAATATTTAACAGAACAAAGATCGATACTATAATTAAAAGTAAATTATACACATTGTGTTGTTAGGTAACTTTTATGCCGATAGATAGCTGTATGAAAAAAAATATATAGTTTTTATATATTTGTTAAGCTACGAAGTGATATTAAATTTCAACTATTGTTACACAATCTAATGTTCATGCATTTCATTTTCACATACTTTATAGTGTTCATACATGTAATAAAGTTCACTTGTATAAATAAAACATTAACAACAATATATGGTACAGATTTTTTGATAAATCTCTTCTATTTCATGACGACGCTCAATATTGAGTAAATGAGAGTACAGAATAGATTTAGTTAATTTTTTTTCGAAACAGTAAGGCCAATAATTTATTCAATGATTATATTTGATAAACTTTTTCTATGATTAAAAGATTAAAACCAACAGACGAGCAACATATATATATATATATATGTTTGATTTTTCTATCTATCAAAGTCGATCTTTACTATTATTCTTCACACATACCACTTTATTTAGATATGATTACATATAATATCACACATGTCTCACTTTTTTTCTTTCTTTTTTACATGGTTGTCAATGTAATCAGTTCACCACAAACTATTGTAACAGCAACTACTCACGACAACGATAAACAACATAGTATGACTTCAAATGAAATCTTTGGTAAGTTTCTCTAATACTGTCTTAATTAATTAGTCAAGATATCCTAGATGTAAATATTGAACTTATTAGAATTACTGTCACTTCATTCAGTTGTTCAAATAGAGACATTTGGTGACCGTTCAATTCGTCGTATATAAGGGAAAGAGTATCACATTAATTGGATTAAGCGAATTTGTTTAGTTTGTTTTTCAATTAAACATAAATGTGTATGTTATAATTAGTAGAAATTAAAATTATATTAGGAAAAATTTTAATTTTTTTCCTAGGAAACTTTGAGATATTTTTGTTAGCAAGAATAAAACTTCGATTTTTCCTAGGACAGCTTTAAATCCTCTTAAATCATAATTTCTATAGCAACATAAACTTTTTTAAAAGATGATCAGATCTCTCCAGGGATACTCGATTCTCTTTCTGCAAACAAGTGATTCAGTTGCCTAAAAATGACTTAAAAGTTATTCTTCGATCACAATGTCAATAGTCTGCTATTATATGTGGCTCAAATCCAGTCTTTCACACAGTCTTGTATTAAAATTTTGAAGTAAGAAACTCAAGAAATGAAGCCAAATGTAAGCTTTATTGATCTGTATGATTTGCTTAGTACTCGATGGAATAATTCTTCGTGATTTGAAAAACTGTTAAATCATGGAATAAAGTAATCTTATAACTTGATTTGTTTTATATATCAATTTTTAGACGAACCATTAAAGTTTAAAAGGATCAATTTTGTCTAGAAATAAGTTTTAAAAAATTTCAAGCTAAAAATACTAATTTTTGAAATACAAAATGACGAGGAAATCACATTTTAATTCAAAAGCTTTAATTGAATTTTTAGTTGAATTTTGTGTTAAACTTTATTTTGAGTTAATATAAATTTAAAATAAATCAAGTTCAAATCAGCAGCTCTGTTCTCTTTTTTGATAAAAACAAATAAATAACAGAAACAATCTGATTATTGTAAGTGAAAGCATTTTTTTGAGTCACTAATGGGAAAAACAAACTAAACAGAATTACTTAATCCAAGTAATGTACTCTTTCATTTATGTGCAACGAACTGATCGCAACGAATTGTACTAGCGCCAGACATTTCGCTCTGATCGATTTTGTTTGAACCGAAATATCTCAGAATAACTTTGAATTGTAGTTCCAAATGACATTTTATCTCGTTAAACTAAACTGAAAACTATGGCTTTTAATTAAAATTCAAAGATTGTTTAGATTTATCATCATTGCGTCGTCGATTCGCTTCTCTTGCTATTTCATGTATTCATCGTGAATATCCAAACAAAATCGCTCATGTTCTTACGTCCGATGCCGATATTCAAGCTCCGCATAATTTAACACCTGCATTTTTTGGTTGCTTCGATTGGCATTCAGCTGTGCATGGCCATTGGCTTTTAGCACGTCTCGGTCGCATTGACAAAAATCTTACTTATGAATGCCGCCAAGCACTTAGAAAAAGTTTAACAAAAGAAAAACTTCAAGATGAAGTAAAATATTTAAGTTGCGAACAACGCCAAACTTTCGAGCGACCTTATGGTTTAGCATGGCTCTTACAATTGGTTATGGAGTTAGATGAATGGACGCAAGAAGAAATTGAAGTTTGCTATTGTCTAAATAGGGACAAAATAGAATAGTTTTCGCTTTTATAGAGTTCTGAAGAAATTCTTGAGTGGCGTGAAAATATTCGTTCACTTGAATTGCTCGTCGTCAATCGTTTATCGTCGTGGCTTCCAAAACTATCGTACCCTATTCGTAGTGGTGAGCATAGTCAAACAGCTTTTGCACTTGGTCTATCTCTTGATTATGCTCGTCGTGTCAACAATTCAATATTTGCACAACTTATCGAACAAAATTCGTTGAGATTCTTCTTTTCAGACAAATTATATCCATTTACTTATGAGCCATCAGGTGAAGATTTTCTTTCGGCTGGTCTTGCTGAAGCTGATCTAATGCGGCGTGTTATGACCAAGAATAATTACGAATTTTTACAATGGTTTAATGAATTTTTACCTTTTGCAAATCTGTCATCAAGCCTCGAGCCTCCATCAATCCTAGATCCAACCGATCCGAAGTTAATTCATTTAGCTGGATTATGTCTTAGTCGAGCATGGATGTTAGAAGGAATTATTCAAGCATTACCAGAAAATACTGAACAACGCAATCAATTGTATGAATTACATAGAAGAAATGCACAAGCAGGTTTAACAGCTATCGATGAAAGTCATTATGAAGGAGGGCATTGGCTTGGTACTTTTGCTGTATATTTAATAACACAGCGAGGAATTAATTGAAGCAGAAATTAAAAAACTATAGTGATAAAGAAACAAAAAAAACGTATATCATTATTAATCATTATTGTTTTTCAGATGGCTTAAAAACCGAAAAAACTGTAATCGGCTATTCCTGTTTTCTTTTCTTTTCAAGCGATATAAAACATAGAAAACTATTATCTGTTGAAAATCATAATAAACTCTACACATTTTTGAAAACAGAAGAAAAAGAATTTAGACGGTTCACGCATTATAGTTTTTATCAATTCAAAGAACATATTGAAGAACATAATGTCTATTTCTGCGATACTCAACAAGTTTCGACGAGAATTTAGCTACTGAATCATATAGATATTCACAGATATGCTGTATTATCATGATTAATTTGTATGCTCATTCAGTCAATGAAATTATTTTCATAACACAATCGAAACTCTAATATTTAGCCTATTTTTATTTGGTGAACTATAATCATTGTATCAAGCCTAGAAGTATCTATTACAAATAGCTTATTGTGAGCGTCATCAATGTAGTTTCAGAGTGGAAAACAGAATAAATATTTTCTCGCGCTAATTTGTGTCCTGCCAGTAACACAGTGTAGTTCATATTCCGTAAATCATTGAAACAATTTGTAGAATATGCGAAATAGGATGTAACTATCGTTGAATTTGAGAAAAATCATTTTTACTGTCGAAGTCCATAATTAGTCAACAAATGACTAACTCGTTTCATATGATTTACAAGTGAAAGTCATGATTAATTCCATCATTTTGATACTATTATTTTATCTGCATAGTGTGACAAATTTTCATCGTATGAATTATGTTTTGGGAAGTAAATAATTGAGAAGATCTAGTTTATGATTAGACCCTTAATATGGGGACTATTTTTGGATTGAAATCAAAATTTTCGTTATCCTTTCATAGTATGAAGTTATTGGCTCTAATTTTGAGTCGAAATCAAAGATTGTTTTTTATTTAAACTCCGGTCGACAACAAAATCATAACAGAAGGTCTCTTCGCCTATATTTTAACGATAGCACGTTGTTTAACAACAACTTATTAATTATGTATGCCGAACTATTATAAGTTCTATTATAGTACGATTTCAAAAGATCCTGTTGCATGTTAGTCTCTTTTGAAAAGAAAAAGAGTCTTTAAAGAACTACTAATTTCCTCTTTACTCGCTATAAAAGAATCGTACATGCGATAAATTTTTATGAAAAGTATATATCAACCGTACGAAACACTGAAGTAATTAATTAGTTTGCGCGAGCAAACAATATTAAAAATATAAGGATCAAATTTTGGTACTTTTTTAAAAGATCATCATTATTTTCGGCCTATTTATCGTTGCTAAGAAATAATAGAAACACGTTAAATTTTTGGTGTAAAATTCTTATTTTATAAAAGACTTTCTACAATATTTATCTATCATCTTCGTTCGATGATTTATTATTTGTAGTAGATAGTTTATGTAAAGTTGTGAAAAATAGATCAACAGCGAGTAAAAACAATTAAACTGTTAAAAATTGATGAATTGAAGATAGATTCAACGCTATTCATTTCTTGTGTGAATGACAGTGTATAAATGCTTGTAACTCATATAAAGTATAAATCTAATTTACATGCATAGAATGAATATACAAAAAGATTAATGAAAGAGTTTATAATGAACCTTTTCGGTGCCTATTGTAAGATCACGCCAATGCATTTTCTAAGTTCTCGTTGTTTCTCGGTGAACTTTCTACGACGACATATTTCTTGATTCATTTTTAGAATTTAAAAACAATCTTATTTTGATAGCTGTGCAAGTTCTTCAGTTGTTCCAAAAAAAGGATGAAGCACATTAGATTTTTGCAAGCAATTATTATATCGAATCGGCAGCATCAAGTAAAAAAGATTCTTTTCGTCTCTATTTTCCAGTATTTAGTGAGATCAAGTTTGTCTGATCTGTAGTGTGTGCATTTGGTTTTTGACGTGTCGGATGGCGTGAGTTTACTAGCAGCAAATCTTCAAGCCGACTATGTGATTTATCTGGAAAATCTCAAGCAGGATTATATGCATTAAATGTTATCTTTGAAAAGAAGGGATCATTCAAGTAGAATGTATATCCGTGATGAATGATTTAGGCAATACTTGATTATCGATGCACATATAAAACATAGTGCAAAAAAAGGAGGCAAGAATCACACTGTAGTTCAAGTCAGATTCTTTGTATGTGAATAAGAATCATTCAACATATCTTTCAATTATTCGTCTATCAGTAATGTTGGCGTATCTTCTGATGATCCTTTATTTTGGCGTCTTCCAACACCTGCTGATTGTAAGACAGTAAGAATTATTGGTATACTATTATATCTTGCTGCTTATACTGGTTTAATGCTTAATGGTTCACTTTTCGCTAGTTTTGTTCGACATACAGCATTGCGTACACCACCAAATATTTTTATTATGTTTATTTCGGATGTTGGTATTTTTGCTTGTTATGCTAATATGCTACTATCGGGTTCTTCGTCTATATTTTTTTACTGGTTGTAAGGCGTACAGGATGTCAAATAGAGGGTTTAGCAGCATTTCTTTATGGAACTACGAGTTCTTATCTACTCTGCACAGTAAGTCTTAGTCGATGTTACATTGTTGTTAGGCCATTCAATGCCAAAGATGTTACAGTAAGTTTGCATTTCTTTTTGAACCAAAGAAACAGGAAGAAAATTATAAATACTTTAGGTTATGAAATGTATTGTCATCTCGTGCGCTGCCGTATTGGTTTCACTGATTTGGACTATATTGCCACTTGTTGGATGGAATGAATGTACCATAGAAGCTAATATGATATTTTTGTCTTCAAGTTTGTCTCAGAGTTGGAACCGGCCGGTCATCACCGATTTTTGCTGGTTGAAATTTTTTTTTATAGATCTGTCATTTTTTTCCTTGCAAAAGCTATTAATAACAATTTTTCATGCTTTTATCAGTAACCGTTGAATTTCATGAAAAAAAAATGTTTCATTGTTGAAAAATAAAATAAAATCCCTATTTCCTGGGTCTAATCTATTTCATAACATTATTTTTAAAGATTGAATTTAATTTGAAATATTATTCGGCGAGAAATGCTAGGCCTTTTCCGAATTATTAGGTACTACAAAGAAATTTCGCCTGTCATTCATTTTTTATGTGAAAAAAATATTGTAAACTTGCCGGTTTTCCCCGGTTTGGAAAATGTTTTGGATCGGCCGGACCGGACCGGTCTTAAAATTTTAGACCGGCTGCAACTCTGGTTTGTCTGCTGAATTTTTTCTCTTTGGATAAATAACAAAAAAGACACAATCTTTTTATTTCTTATGATAACATCATTTCTTTTATTTTTGAAATTACAGTTAATTTTAGAATCTATTCTAATAATCAAAGTGTAATTATTTCTTCAACCTATTTATAGGAAACTCGTACATCATGTTGTACAAATTTGTATGATCGACGTCGCTTATATATTTCGTTTAGTATAGCTATTTTTGTGTTCGTTTATTGTTTACCTTTGGTCATTCTTCTCACAGCAAATTCGATTATTTATCTTGAATTTAAACGTATGCGTGACAAAATAGCTCATGGTGCCAAAGCAGAATTAAGTCAAAAACGAATTGACATGGAAAGACGTATTCTAAAAAGTAAGACATCAAAGTAGCTATTCTAGCTATAGATTCCCTAAGATTTATCAAATAAATCTTAAACAAAATGAAAACTTTGAAGAAAAATTGTAGTATACTTTGTGTTTTATTCATAGGCATTGTAATAACAATGTTTGACTTTATTTTCATCTGGACATCATATGCAGTAGCATTCTTCATTTCGGTATTCAGTGGAAGTAATTATACTACACCACCCATGGGGAAATTTATGTCTGCATGTTTCGCTAAAACATCTGTTGTATGAATTCCATTACTGTAGATGAGTACGCCAACTCAAGTTCGATTTCGTTTAGTAGATGTGACTGCATTAGACAGAATGTCGGCAACTACTAGTGTTGCAGGAGAGGCATCGAAGGCAGCTGCTGCAGCTAGGTAAATCGACAAAAAAGAGACACCTGCCGATACTGCATGAACTGACAAAGATATTGCTACAATTGACAAGTGAAACGAAAATAGACTATCTATATAAAATATTCATATATATTATATTTCTGCCTTTTGTTTTACTGTATTCAACAATGCTTGCTAGTGCTGCTTGATATTATTACATCTCTTTATTTTAAAAATAAAATAATATTTTGTCCTAGATCGATTAGAGAAATGTGAACTTTCACCAATAGTACTTATTTGTTGTTAGTATGAAAAAAAAATATCATATTATTTTGAGAATATATAAAAAAAGAAAATATAAGATGAAAGATGATAAATTTTGTTTTTGTTATTTGTATCGGTCAACTGAAATTTAGGCAGGCTAGAAGAATATAAATAGTAATAATCGAATAATAATTTTTCAAAATTAACTCACTATAAAATTCATTGTTACATGAATTTCTTCATGAACTGGCAAGCCCAAATGAGCTGGTAATTTCACCCAGTCGTCGAATTTTCCATCATCAAACACATTCGTAAGTTTCACTTTACCAGTTCCGATTAAATCTTTGTCACCAACGTCAGCGTCATAAACATCAAAATGAATTGTATCTTCCTCGGGATGTATATTGAATACAAATCGTTCATTCCATACAGGTTCATACTTATTGCCGTTGTTATATTTTAAGAAATACTACTTCAGCAATCTCTCTCTCTCTCTCTCTCTCTCTATATATATATATATATATATATATATATATAATGTTCAGTGTGTCTCTGCCGGGTCAAAGGTTAAAGGTCAAAGATATTTTAAATTTTCTAAACCTTTCTGGAACCATATGAAGTCAAGTAGACTTCTAGAAAATTCCATGACTTTCTGGAATTTTATGGAATGTTCTAAGATATTCTAGAACTTTCTCTGAACTACGACACAATCAAGTGAAACGTTGAAGGTTAAACTGAGTCGTGTTATGTTACCAGAAAATTCTAGAAAGTCGTCGACTTTTACCGAATATCCTAGGATCACCTAAAATTATCGTATCTTGACTGCACGGACCCTATCGACAATTAACAAAGAGAATGAACATGGAGTTAATTGCGATTTTTCATTAGACAATAACGAAGATTTCATGAACAATATGATACTATGAAATGAAATATTCTTTACTTTATGCATGCATATTTATAATCAGACTCAAATATTATACTTAAGAACAGAACTGGATTCTTTTTTGAAATCTAAGTTGGACCTGAAGGAAACTAAATTTACAAACCAAAACGTGGTAGAATTCGAGCCCGGCCTGATAAGCTCTGCCGTGCATACTGCACAGAACCTCGCTAGTTATTTATATGTTGATCGGACAAAATAAATCAAAAAAAGATTTGTGGTTCGAGGTTGCCACTTTGCAGCATTTTTTAAATTTTATACAAAAAATGCAGATATTAAGCAAATTCTTATGATGGCCAAAGCTACATTTCTACCATCAAGAAGTGGAAGAAATTAAATGAAGCGCACAAATAAAAGATATTTGTTACCAATTGAGATTGTAAACATACAGAGAGAATCACCAGTACAAGAGGCCGCACAATTAGGTTTGTGTAGAACTACAATGGAACATTGTATAGAGACTTGATTTAAATGTAAAAGCAATTCTATTTAAAGTAATTTTTGGAATTCGGATGCTTCAATAAGATTAATCTTTGAGCATGCGACTATATTGACTGAACAAAATAAAATCCCGTTTTTACATAAATCAACTCTATCATGCAACACTAGGAGATCCAATCGTTGGGCGATCTAGGATCACCGATTATCATTAGCCGAGCACGTTCTATGAATTTTTTATTTCAATACGTAGTGCTTTTTTTAATTTTACAGATTTATTATATTCTGAGGCACAAAACACATTTGTTATCAATAATGATTGAATTCGACAATACTGACTTGATAACCATGAAATAAAAAGATCAACAAATAAATACGTACATATATGTATATTTTAAGTGAATATCTTCTATTAATATTATTGATCCTATATAAAAAAAAAAAAGAATCCGTTACTTATTCGCATAATGCAAATCATCGTGCAAAAGAAAACACAGAAAATAGTCTGACGAAGGCATAAATAATAACGTTCATATTAGTTTTTAAATAACATAGATTAAACTCCTAATAATAAATAATAGTATTTTCTATACTAAATAATAAAAATAGCTGATAGACTCACACTTGCTTCATTTTTGTTAGACATTCGATTTTAAATTGTTCATGTTGAATAGATATATTTTATAATAACTGTTTTGTATAAAAAAATCCTTGTCTATTTTTTTTACACTATTAATACTGATCATTCTAATACTACTATTAGATCATTAAATGACCTTTTTTCGCCTCTGAGACTTTGAAATACGATCGAAAAATAGCGAAAACTCATCTCTATAGAATTGTTTTAACATTATCTTCAGATTTCAATTGCAACAATTCTTTTGCCTTTTCTTCTCGTTCTGTGTTTGATGTGTTTATTCAAGAAGAATAACTTTTCTTCGTTCTCTTTCCTTGTGGTTCAGAGATGTTGTTATTTTGTCATTGTACCCTTCTGTATAGTTCGACTACGTACTTTCTATTTCTAGAAATTTCCAGAAAGTCTTTTGTTATCTCAATTTTCTCAATATAAATATGCCTGGTCTTGTGATTTTTAGAAATTTTATAGCACTTTGTAGCCTACGCACTCGTTAACTCGAATTAAAACTTAGTAAGTAGACTGAATAAAATTTGCCCTAAATCTTATCCTGGTAAATTACTCTCTGTGTTTTAAGAGAATATCTTTTATAAGTTGATTTTATTTTTATCACAGTACAGTAAATATAGTTCTATAGAACAAAAAAAAAATTGAGCTAAGATAAAATGAAATGCAGATGGAGAATATATGAGTGAATTGTAACTTTTTGGTACAATTGATGAGAACAGATGAAAGTGAACCTATACAATTTTTGACTAGTGCCTTTTATTATACTCTATGTCAGTAGTACACAAAAACAATTTCCCAATACTTCATCGATTATTAAGGGAGATATACCCCGTATAAATTTGCGATTTTTTCTACTTGTGGGTGATTCCATGTGACGACAAACACACTTTGAAAATTCAAAAATTTATACCTAGCACGCATCAGTATATGATCCTAGATACAATGGTCGATGTAGTTGTCAAGAAATCGAATAAAAATTTTTTGTCAACCCCAAACTCTGGAGGGGAGTACGACAATTTCGAAAAAAACATTTTTGCTTTTTCTTGAGAGTTATGTTGACAATTTTATCTACGAACATGTCTTGATTTTTTCTAAATACAAATTATTGAATAAAAATAGAAGCTAGAGAGTATATTGCAGCTTTTTGGTACAATATACGCAAAATATGAAAGTGAATCTAAACGACTTTTGAGTAGTGGATTTTATTAGACTCTATGTCTGTGATATACTGCAAAAATTTCCCAATACTCTATCGATTATTAAAGGAGATATGTCTTGTATAAATCTACGATTTTTTCTATATGTATTATTTTCCACTGACTAAAGCTGTATATCGGTTTGTATGTATTTTAGTAGTAATACGATTCGAAAGCAGTTAGAAAATTATTTTCTATAGCAATAAAATATTGAATCCTGCGAAAAAACACTCGTTTTGATGTACTTTAGTTGAAATAGCATATAAGAAAGGTGAGTCTACACAAAAATGCAGAGTGTCTGTAATTTTAAAGTAAAGCGAATGGACGCGAACAAAAACGAGTAGAAAAAAAACAAAAGATATATCATTTGAAAGCTCGTTTCAAGCTCTACAAAATGGCCTAATAATTGTAGTTTCCCCTCGTTTCTCATACTAAGAAAATATCGTTTTTATAACATATCTCCATGTATAATACAATTTTTTCAGTGTAAGATCTATATGTTTTCAACAGTATGATATAGAGACTTGACATTTGGTGGCAGTGGAGCACATAGAACGCAATAACTGTAAAAAAAAGTATTAAAATTGGTGCAGTAGAACAAAAGTTATTAAGCAAATACAGCTAAAATCTTAATAGTACCAAAAAGTTGCAATTCACTCATATGTATATTCATAAAATTAGAAAACGAAAGAAAGTTTGTTTTTCTTACAGATTAAATTTGAGATTAGAAAAAGACTTTATTAACATTTCTATATATCTATAGTTATGCATGTCTATATTCGATTCGACTCAAATTGGATTTACAAAACATGGCATTCACTATTACATAGTATTGTTGTTTTCAGACTGTCATCTTTTTAGAATGAGAATAGTCTGTCGATCTTCTATAGAAATTGACCGTAGCCATACTTAATAAATAAAGAGGTTGATATCAAGACCCCAATCGCACTGGAAATGTGAATAAAGTTAAAGTCTTATTAAGTAATCTAATTGATACATTAAGAGTTAAAATCACCTCTAAAATATTACTTAACTCTTAATGCACCAGTCACATGGCTTAATTCAACTATAATGTTAATTTACTTCTCAGTGTAATTGGGGCCTAAATTGACTAACGAAAAAAAAAGAAGGGAAGAAAGATGGAACGAACGCTCGTTGTAAGTGAGTATTTCTTATACCAATCAAAATGTACTTGACCATGAGAATGATATGAACAGAACAGAACAAGGATGACCATTAAATAAGCACGACTTGACAGAAACAAAGAAAGAGAAGCAGTGGACGCCCTTTTTCATGCGTCATCTCTTATACTAGTCAACTGCCCTCGACCATAACACCAGAACAAAGAAAATGATGTTGAACAGCCGAATGAAACTGAAAAAAAAATGAATCGATTCGATTCCATTCGACCTCTTTTCTAGAAGTATCTCATTTGATTCGATTTCGATCTCTGTTTCCTATACTAAGAATAAAAATATAGCGTCATCTTGTCTTACTAGAAAAATTCAACACGCTATCCAATAAGATTAAGCCATTACTTTTCGATAGCTAATGTAAATGTAAATCAAAATATCAATAAGAATTGTCTGAATTAAAAGTCGATAGATAGCTTTCTTTGTCTAATTTTTTGAAACAATGAATAACCGATAGTAAAGAACTTTCTATATTTTAGAAATTAATCATGTCGTATTCTCCTGAAGAATTCACTGATCAAACTAACAAAGCTATAGGACAAGCATTGGAATATGCTCAAGAACAAAAACATATTGAACTTGTACCATTACATTTAGCACATGTTCTTATTGAAGATGAGCATGGTTTAACTAGACAATTAATAAAAAAAGCTGAATTCAATGTTCAAGAAGTGCAAGAAGCAGTTGACTTAAAATTAAAAAAATTAGGGCAACAAAACCCTCCACCAGCGAAAATTTATCCAAATTCATCATTTATGAATGTCTTGAAACAAGCGAAAAAATTATCGAAACAACAAAAAGATAGTCACACTGCCATCGACCATATTTTAGCTGCTTTATATGAAGATTCAGATACAACATCAGCTTTCGTTTCGGTTGGTTTAAGTAAGAAACGAATGGAAGAAGTTATCAAACAAATACGACAAAATAAAAACGTTACTTCAGCTACAGCTGAACAAGTATTAATTGATTGATTTAAAGATTTTTATGAAAGTTTTATCGATAATTTCGTTTTAGACATATCAAGCATTGGAAAAATATGGCCATAATTTAGTTGCCGATGCCGAAGCTGGAAAACTCGATCCAGTTATTGGTCGTGATCAAGAAATTCGTCGATGTATTCAAGTTTTATCGCGACGAACAAAAAATAATCCTGTCTTAATTGGAGAACCAGTAAGAAGTCAATTTAGCTATTTTAATTTTCTTAATAAATCACTTTATTTTGAATAGGGTGTTGGAAAAACAGCGATTGTTGAAGGTTTAGCACAACGTATTGTTCATCTAGATGTTCCTGATACATTACCACGACGTTTAATTGCATTAGATATGGGAGCATTAGTTGGTAAGATTTATTAGATATTTATAAAGAATTTTTCGACTCAAATAGGTTTTATTCCATAATCCATTGAGAAAAGCACAGTACTTATACTATTGAATATAAAAATCGATCGGATTTTTTATATTTGTTGGTTTTTAAATAGTAGACTCAATGAA